ATTACAGTTATGAAGTAGCAACGAAAATAATTTTATGGTTGGGGGTCACCACAACATGAGGAGCTGTATTAAAGGGTCGCGGCATCAGGAAGGTTGAGAACCACTGGTCTGAGGGAAGTTTATTTCGGGGAGGAGGGGGTGCCTGGCGCCAGCCTCGAAAATCCACAGATGTGGGCAACCAAAACTACAAAGCCTGAGAGATCAGGCCTGTGGCCGAGAGATAAACCTTGGGAAGGGAAGCCACACTCCCTCAGCCCCTCCTCCTTCCAGACCCTCTTCTCTGGGGGCGCGGCCTTTGCAGCCCTACAGCCCCTCCCCTGGTCTCTTTGTTCCGGTTTCACCCTCTCCCCACCCCCACCCCTCATAAAATCCCTCCTGCACTGCGCGGCGAGGTGGGTGTTTGAGAACAAGAAAAGTCTCCCGTCTCCCCACTTGCTGGCAACTGGAGGAAAACTCCTTTCCTTCACCCCAGCACGTGTCTCTCGAGTTTGGCGACAGGCAGAACCGGACTTGGCCCCGGGTCATTTCTTTGCAGTTTCAGACTTGACGAGCCATAGCCAGGAGCAAGTGGGAGCCCCCGGTAAGTCCCCAGATTTCGGAGGTGGTCCCTCTGGCTGCCGGGGACTGAGATTTTGAGAGTCCTCAGCAGCTGCCGGGTGACTTTACCCCGGGACTGTCTCTTTCTTGGGCCAGTCGCCTATGACGCCCAGCTGAGGGGAGGAAACGGATTACTGCGGGCTGACTGGGAAAAGTGCCTGGTGGGCAGGACCAGAAACCCGCTGCCCCCTGCCATCTGGGTTCATTTGAACCATCTGGGGTTCCGTGGGAACCAATTGGCGCCACTTGGCGGGTGGCAAGGCTTTGTGAGAACATCCAGTCCCCCTTCCCCTTGTACGGGGATCTGTGAGGAGTACTCGCTCTGGTCTGGTTGTGTATGGATTTCTGGGTTCTGGATGCTTCTCTGATTGTGAGAAGGCAAGTCGAGAGCAGATAAACCTCCTTTGCTTGCACCACTGTAACGACGCCAGCGCTGGCTTCTTGCATCAGCCAACTGCCCAAACTGCAACGGATGTGGAAAGTCCACAACTTACCCAGAAGCTTACGTGTAAAAGACTAGAAACCCGCTGGCTCAGGGTGCTCAGCCTCCGGAGGTGACTCTGCTGCTGTCACAGTTGTGTAGATTGTGTAGGGTTCTTGATCGTGTTCCTGTCTGTGTTTCTAGGCAGGGGCAGCCCTACTTGGTAAAACTGCGTCCTTCCCAGTTCACGGGTTCTGCCCTTGGCTAGTAACTATGGGAACAACGCAGTCCATCCCGAAAGACAGCCCCCTCGGCCGCATATTAGAGAGATGGCATGTCTATGGATATCCGCCAATGACAAAGAAGAAAATGATTTCCTATTGTAATAAGGTCTGGCCAACGTATGTTTTGGAGTCCCAAGAGCGATGGCCCCTGAATGGCTCTTTGAATTACTATACTATTTTGCAGTTACAGTCATTCTGTGAGAGGTCTGGGAAATGGGGTGAATTATCTTATATTAAGGCTTTTATGTGTCTGCACAAGAAGAATGATGCAGTCAAGGAGGGCAATATGTTAAAGGTTCCATGGGGAAGCTCTCTGAAGCCCCCCCTTGCAGACAGTAAGCCAAAACCTCCCCTTGCAGACAGTAAGCCGAAGCCTCCCCTTGCAGACAGTAAGCCAAAGCCTCCCCTTGCAGACAGTAAGCCGAAGTCCCCCCTCGCACACAGTAAGACGCAGGAGGGGAAAAAGAATGAGGAAGTGGCTCTTTCAGGCTCCCGGAACCCAGGGTCACCAAGGCAGGGAGGTGGCGTTTATCCATCGTTGCCGCCCCCACGGACCCCGGTAGATCTTAGAAATCAGGGAACCCAGGCCACCAAGGCTCCTCCTTCGTGTGATGGGCAAACAGTCTCCCCTTCTAGGACCTCACAGGGCACCCAATGCGGACCAGGGGCTCCCCAGACTGGAGTAGTGCCATGTCTGCCGAGAGGCATGAATCAAATGGGCCAGCCGAGGGAGTATTACTGGGCCCATACCCCGCTTTCAGTTTCGGATTTACTTAATTGGAAAAGTGTTAATGCCTCTTACCAAGAGGACCCCCAGAAAACAACTGATTTCATTGCATATATTTTCTCAACCCATCAACCTAACTGGGCCGATGTAGAGGTGCTCCTGAACATCCTACTAACAAGTGAGGAGAGAAAACTAGTAAGAGATAAGGCCATAGAGGAAGCCTATCGGCTTTATGGAGAGAACCCCAACAGAACCCCTTTCCCAGCGGGGGCAGTGCCTGTCGTAGAGCCTCATTGGGATCTAACCAGCGGAGGCCTAGTGCACCTGGAGCATTACAGGAGGTGCATACTAGAAGGCTTAAGGAAAGGGGTGACGAAGAAAAACAACCTAGACAGGGTACTGGCAATACAGCAAAAACCCGACGAGGACCCTGCTGACTTTCTAGAGAGAATTTACCAAGTCATCCGGAAATACACAGATATGGACCCCGAAGCGCCTGAAAATGTGTGGCTGGTCAATCTGGCCTTCATCCACCGGAGTGTCCCACACATTAAGAACAAGCTTCTAGAGCTGACGGGAACATTGGGGATGAAACCGCAGCAGTTGGTCAATATTGCCATGTCTTACAGCAGAAAGATGCAAGTGCCGCAGCCGACTATTATTGTCTTAGGGCCTGGATGGGGACGGAAAGAAACGAAGTGGAGGAGGCCTCTAGGCCCAAACCAGTGTGCTTATTGTAAGGAGGAAGGGCATTGGAAAAGAGAATGCCCTAGATTAGCTCTGAAAGCATACAGGAATCAGCTTAGAAACATGATTGCGTGGCATGGGGACTCCGACTCCGATGAGGAATGACGGGACCCAGGGGCTCCCTTGGATATTACCCGGCCCCGTTGCTATCTCCCCACAGGGGCCCCGGGTACAACTGAGAGTAGGGAACCAACCCATAGACTTCCTTGTGGACACTGGAGTGATTTACTCCATCCACCTCCGTGGCAGCGTCAGGGGTTTCAGGAAAACCGTGGAAAGCAAGCTTTCCTTAAGCCAGTGGTTCTCAACCTTCCTGATGCCGCGACCCTTTAATACAGTTCCTCATGTTGTGGTGACCCCCAACCATAAAATTATTTTCGTTGCTACTTCATAACTGTAATTTTGCTACTGCTATGAATCATAATGTAAATATCTGACATGCAGGATGTATTTTCATTGTTACAAATTGAACATAATTAAAGCATGGTGAGTAATCACAAATATGTAATTATATATGTGTTTTCCGATGGTCTTAGGCGACCCCTGTGAAAGGGTCGTTCGACTTCCAAGGGGGTCGCGGCCCACAGGTTGAAAACCGCTGCCTTAAGCCCTTAGAATGCTGGCGGGAGGCCAGCCAAAAGCTAACTCACAGCTTTCCTCATGTGCCAGGCTGCCTGATTCCTCTGTTGGGTGGGGATTTGCTTTGCAAGTTCCCTGCTCTAGTGACTTTCTCTCCAAGAAGCAACAGCTCCCCCTGCAGGTGCCCCCGGAACACACACTAAAGCTCCAGATGTTCCTTGCTGAAACCAGAGGCCCCCAGAGGAATTTTCCCACCCGAAATCTCTGAGCAAGTAAGACCCTATGGGCCCACAGGATCGGGGCCAGCAGAAAATCTTTCTCCAGTATCTGTTCAGTTAAAGGAAGAAACAATTGTGCCTAGGAGAAAACTACCCACTAAAAAAGGAAGCTTTAGAAGGGATACAACCATCCTGCAGGAACTTCTAAAAGCTGGATTAATTAGGCCTTGCAGATCACCATATAATACACCAATCCTGCCCGTTAGGAAGCCAAATATCATTTTGTCCAGGACCTACAGGCTATTAATGAAATTACTCAGGACATTCATCCAGCTGACCCCAATCCAAACCCTTTGTTGATAGCTGTGCCAGGGAACAGTAGTTGGTTCTTTGTTTTGGATTTAAAGAATGCCTTCTTTTTTAAAAAATAAAATAAATTGTGGTTTTTTTTATTGATTTCAGAGAGAGGAAGGGAGAAGGGGAGGGAGATAGAAACAACGATGATAAGAGAGAAGCATTGATCAGCAGCTTCCTGCACACCCTCTACTGGGGATTGAACTGGAAACCCAGGCATGTGCCCCTGACAGAATCACTCGTGACCTCCTGGTTTATGGGTTGATGCTCAACCACTGAGCCATACCAGCCGGGCAGGATGCCTTTTGTATTCCAATTGATAAGCAGGCACAATTACTATTTGCCTTCGAATGGCAGAACCCAGTGAGTAAAACTATTACCCAGTATTGCTGGGCTGTGTTGCCATAGGGATTTAAGAACTCTCCCACGGTTTTCAGAGAACTGCTAGCCTAAGACTTGAGAGACCTATAATTGGACTCTACTGGCAACTCTTATGAGACTTGTTTAAAAAATACTGTCAGTCCAGCAGGTGTTGCTCAATGGTTGAGCATCAACCTATGAACCAGGAGATCATGGTTCAATTCCCAGTCAGTTCACAAGCCTGGTTTGCAGGCTCGATCCCCAGTAGGAATTGTGTTGGAGGTAGACAATCAATGATTCTCTTTCTTCCTCTCTGAAATAAATAAAACTATGTTTAAAAAATAAAAAATACTTCCAAAGTCTTTAACCATCTTGCATCCTGTGCATATAAAGTTTCCCCTCACAAGACTAAGATTTGCGGACAAGAGGTGTCTTATTTAGGGTTCAACTTAAAACCATGGGAGGAGCCCTAGCTGGTTTGGCTCAGTGAATAGAGCATCCGCCTGAGGACCGAAGGGTCCTGGGTTCAATTCTGGTCAAGGGCACGTACCTCAGTTGCAGGATCCTCCCCTGCCCAGGCCTGGTTGGGGTACATGCAGGAGGCAATCAATCGATGTGTTTCTCTCACATCGATATTTCTCTCTGTCTTTCCCTCTCCCAATCTCTCTAAAAAATCAATGAAAACATATCCTTGGGTGAGGAGTAACAAAAATAATAAATAAATAAGTAAATAAGTAAGTAAGTCTTTGGGGAATTTTTGTTGAAAAAAAAAAATAGGGAAGAGAAGTCTTATGGCAGACCAAAAAAGAAGCCATTGCTGCCACTAAACCTCCTGAGAACCAGAGACAACTCCGAGAGCTTCTTGGAATGGCAGGATTCTGTTACATTTAGATTCTTAACTTTGGGCCAATAGCTAAGCCACTCTATGCTTCTTTGAAAGGGCTCGACATAGCCCTTCCCTGGATTTGGACCCAGGATGTCAGAGGGCTTTTGAGACACCAAAGGGAAAAATTAACCTCAGCCCCTGCATTAGGATTGCCCGACCCTCAGCAGGCTTACAGGTTTATATACATGAAGGGCAGGGCATTGGACTCGGAGCGCTTATCCAGATGGTGGGAAACTCCCCAAAGCCGAATGTGTGTTTCTCTATGAAATCAGATCGTACCACCCAAGGATGGCCTCCCTGCCTCAGGGCGGTAGCGGCAGCCTGAAATGTCTTTCAGGGAGCAGAAGGGTTTACCCTGGGACCGTCCATCACAGTGTTCACTCCCCACCAGGTGCTAACCCTGCTAGAGCAGAAAGGGGGCTCCTGGTTAAAGGCTGGATGAATGGGCACATACCAGGCCATCCTGTTAGACAACCCAATGCCACCTTGCAGACACCGAATGTTACTCTGTAGGACCCAGCCACTCCCAACTGTGAGGGCAGGCTGGGACCTCCATATAACTGTTTAGAAATTATTGACCAGGTTTACCCCAGGTGACCAGACTTGTCAGATCAGCTGCTGGGACTTACACGCTGATGGAAGCAGCTTCATGGAAAATAAACAAAGAAAAGCCGGGTATGCGGTGGTGACCAATGGCAAGGTAATGGAGGCGCATGCCCTACTCACAGGCACCTCAGCACAAAAAGCTGAGCTGAGTGCCCTCACCAGAGTGCTGGAACTGTCTCAGGACAGACGGCTCAGTATATATACTGACTCTAAACTTGTTTTCATGCTGTATGTGCTCATGGGGCAATATGGAAAGAAAGAGGATTTCTAACTTTGGAGAACAGACATTAAATATCCAAAAGAGGCTCTAACCTTCCTTAAGGCCGGTAATTTGCCTACTCTACCTACTCAAAGTTGCCATTATGCATTGCCCAGGGCATCAGAAGGACAGTTCCCAGGTAACTAGAGGGAATCTAAAAGCCAATAAAGCAGCAAAGCAAGCAGCCCCGGGAGACTCCCTTAACTGGGGCTCTAACACCCCACTTAGACTTGACAGAATTGAAACCTCATTACACAGGGCCAGGCAAAGAATAGGCCATGAGTGGGGGTTTGCTAACACTGACACTAGCTGTTGATGGAGAAGCGATGCCCAAAGCTCTGGTATACCCAGTCCTGAAACATCTGCATGAAGGAATGCACTATGGGTGGGATGCACTGGCTGATTTAATCCGGCCTTACTTAAAGGGACCGCGTTTGCAGAAGACTATTCAAAAAATAACTCAGCGTTGCCAATTAGATGCTAGAAATAACCCCAAGATAGAACGCAACCCAGCCGAGAAGGGGCAACAATACAAAGGAACATGCCCCATTTGAAGATTGTCAGATTGACTTTACCAATTTGCCTAAAACCACCGGGAATTTCAAATACTTGCTGGTTATTGTGGACACCTTTTCCTAATGGGTTGAGACATACCTGACTAGAATCGAAAAGGTGAAAACTCAAGGAATTAATTCCCAGATTCGGACTCCCTAACAGTATTCAGAACAGCCATCATTTATATCTGAAGTCACCTAGAAAGTCAGTCAAGCACTGCAGGTCCGATGGAGAGTACAGGGTTCCTGAATCCCTGTCTACTGGAACTGGGAAACGGACATGAGCCACACCTTGGAGAAAACTTGGGCAAAGCTGTCAGGAGGCACATTTGCAACGAGACCATGTGCCTCCTCTTGCCTATTAGGGATCAGGGTAGCCCCTAGATGTGGGCTCACACTGAACCCTTTTGAAATTGTCTATGGGAAACCCAAACTTCTGTTCTAGGGACTCCCCCCACTGGGTTAGAACAGGACACGGAAATTAAACACTGTGTTTAACACCTAGGGCTAGTTTTGCTAACCTTGCCTAAGTTTGTTCTTTCCAGCTCTTCTTTTCCCACAGAGGAACCTCTGCCTTTCCCCCCTCCTCTCCCCTTCCCCGCTTCCAGTCGGGGACAGACTGAAGACTTAGAGGACCCAAGGACCAGAACAACAACCAGTGGACGGCTCTAGCTCGCAGGAGTGAAAGCCTGGATACACCAAACTCCAGTTCAGAGCGGTGATTTGCACTCCTGAAGGGGATCTGACATGCCTTTTCCAGCGACAGACCTTGGATACACCAACTCCAGTTCAGAGCGGTGATTTGCACTCCTGAAGGGGATCTGACATGCCTTTTCCAGCGACAGACCTTGACTAAAGCTGAGTAACAATGTCACCCTTCCTATTTCTTTCTTTCTTTTTTTTAAAAAATATTTTGTATTGATTTTTTACAGAGAGAAAGGAAGAGGGATAGAGAGTTAGAAACATCCATGAGAGAGAAACATCGATCAGCTGCCTCCTGCACACTCCCCACTGGGGATGTGCCCGCAACCAAGGTACATGCCCTTAACCAGAATCGAACCTGGGACCCTTGAGTCTGCAGGCCGACGCTCTGTCCCCTGAGCCAAACTGGTCAGGGCTCCCTTCCTATTTCTTATGCTCTCCAGCTCCGAGGGCATCTGCTTGGACAGATAATGCCTTTGTAGGCTTCTCCCAAGTTACGGCTTCCTTGGCTTATCTGTCACCCTGTGGGATTTGTCATCCTAAGCCTACTACTGGCTTAGACCATAGTGACCCTTAGTTTTTCCTGTTGAGATTTCTCTTCCATCCTACCCTGCACTGTTAAGGCAGCAAAGCCTGGGAGCTCCTACCATATACCCATCAGCTTAGCTTCCAGTGTGAATAGCAAAAGCCACTCTCCTTCACAACCCCCTCCTTGTGTTAGCAAACCTATAAACATTACTGAACAGTGGTTCAGTAATAGCCTCCATGTTCCTAAGGAGAGGAATTCATGACTCTCTTGCAGCACTGCAAATACTTGGTTTCCTGGAGATCCCAGCAGTTGTGAACCCCCACATCTCCCTTGATTTATTTTTATTTTTGTTAATCTTCACCAGGGATATTTTTCCCATTGGTTTTTAGAGACAGTGGAAGGGAGGGGGAGAGGAAAAGGGGGGAAAGGGAGAGAGACACATCAATTGGTTGCTTCCCGCACCCACATACATAGCCTTGACCAGGAATCCAACCCAAAACCCTTCAGTGCCCAGGCCAACACTCTAACCACTGAGCCACACCAACCAGGGCCCACGGCTCCTTTAAAATATTGGGACTACTTTCAGGAAAACCTTACCGGAGACTGTCCGGACTGGCTAGTAAAGACTGCCTTTGCTCCAGCAGCATCTAACTCTTTAATGCAATGCACCTCTGAAGGATATATCTTCATTTGCAGCTATAAAAAACAACCCTTGGGCCTATCCCTGCCTATGGAACAAAACAGACTCTGGCCAGTGTCCTCTTAGAACTCTAGTTGTACCCTTGACTGTCCACCCACAGGATGAGACACGGGTCATTTTTTTCGGTTTCAGATGAGGACTGAAGAATAGGTAGCTCGGACTTCTTGCCCTTCAAAGGCACATTACACAACGCCTCCTGAAGGGTCCCCAGCAGGACTGAGTGGTGGTTACCCCAGCAGTAACCCCTCATTAACATGCTCTTCAGTCCCACCTCTCCCTTCCCTCTCTGACACTCTACTCCCTCCCTGTGCCACCTGGGATCTGCTTAGGCCCAGTCATTGTCTCAATTCTGCTTTGGGGTTGAGCAAGCGAACGGTAAATGGGAAATTGGGCCCCTTCCATGTTCTAGCTCCTCCCATCCTGTGGGATGACTATGAACTGTAAGACCTTGGGAGCCTGGCCAGCATCTCAAAGAAAACAGCTAGCAGTTTTGAGCTCACGCAGCTGGTGGGGGCGGGGGGCATTAGCACATCCCCCACCCCCTGCAGGTCCTGTTTTCCCATAAAACCTTGTGTTGGGAAAGTCTGAGTGGTGTGAAACAATGGCACTGGCCATGGCATAAGTCATAATAAGCCCATGTCTTTCACAGCCCGTCCTCTGTTTATTTTTTTAGGAATCCAAGAACCAAAGGCAAGGTTTTCTCAGATCTCACCCTCAGCACTTTGCATAACAACTGGCTTAGTGGGCAGGTTGGGTTCCAGAGAAATTCCTGTAGAGCTAAAGGCAGGTGAAGAGGGTGGATGGGAGGCAGTGTGAAATGTAGTGTGGGGAACCCCACTTTGGACAAGGAGCTCCCTGTGGTAGGAGGGGACCACCACGTGAGCTTTCTGGGGAGATCCAGAAAACGCCAGCAGGACCGCTTTCAGTCCTGGTAACAGTGGCGTGGAAGTGCCACTAGCAAAATGAAGGAAACATTTTAAATGAGTCTTTTGAACACCTTGAGTCTTCCTTTTGGAGACTCAGAGGCTGCTGTGGTCCCGGGACTTGAGGGATCAAGGCTGCCCCCCAGCCCTGTGTCGGAGCAGCATGCGGGAGGGGGGCATGGGGGGCGGGGGGAGAATATGGTCCACTTTTACATTCAAATTGTTATTTTGGAATGTTATATCTTACAGAAAGATCTATAATGTCATTTTAAGTTTTGTCATTCACAGTCACTGTTTTACCCTGATGCATTTGCAAAGAGATTTCATCTTAGGTAATTTGCCTACTCTGCCTACTCAAAGTTGCCATTATGCATTGCCCAGAGCATCAGAAGGACAATTCCCAGGTAACTAGAGGGAATCTAAAAGCCAATAAAGCAGCAAAGCAAGCAGCCCAGGGAGACTCCCTTAATTGGGGCTCTAACACCCCACTTAGACTTGACAGAATTGAAACCTCATTACACAGGGCCAGGCAAAGAATAGGCCATGAGTGGGGGTTTGCTAACACTGACACTAGCTGTTGATGGAGAAGCGATGCCCAAAGCTCTGGTATACCCAGTCCTGAAACATCTGCATGAAGGAATGCACTATGGGTGGGATGCACTGGCTGATTTAATCCGGCCTTACTTAAAGGGACCGCGTTTGCAGAAGACTATTCAAAAAATAACTCAGCGTTGCCAATTAGATGCTAGAAATAACCCCAAGATAGAACGCAACCCAGCCGAGAAGGGGCAACAATACAAAGGAACATGCCCCATTTGAAGATTGTCAGATTGACTTTACCAATTTGCCTAAAACCACCGGGAATTTCAAATACTTGCTGGTTATTGTGGACACCTTTTCCTAATGGGTTGAGACATACCTGACTAGAATCGAAAAGGTGAAAACTCAAGGAATTAATTCCCAGATTCGGACTCCCTAACAGTATTCAGAACAGCCATCATTTATATCTGAAGTCACCTAGAAAGTCAGTCAAGCACTGCAGGTCCGATGGAGAGTACAGGGTTCCTGAATCCCTGTCTACTGGAACTGGGAAACGGACATGAGCCACACCTTGGAGAAAACTTGGGCAAAGCTGTCAGGAGGCACATTTGCAACGAGACCATGTGCCTCCTCTTGCCTATTAGGGATCAGGGTAGCCCCTAGATGTGGGCTCACACTGAACCCTTTTGAAATTGTCTATGGGAAACCCAAACTTCTGTTCTAGGGACTCCCCCCACTGGGTTAGAACAGGACACGGAAATTAAACACTGTGTTTAACACCTAGGGCTAGTTTTGCTAACCTTGCCTAAGTTTGTTCTTTCCAGCTCTTCTTTTCCCACAGAGGAACCTCTGCCTTTCCCCCCTCCTCTCCCCTTCCCCGCTTCCAGTCGGGGACAGACTGAAGACTTAGAGGACCCAAGGACCAGAACAACAACCAGTGGACGGCTCTAGCTCGCAGGAGTGAAAGCCTGGATACACCAAACTCCAGTTCAGAGCGGTGATTTGCACTCCTGAAGGGGATCTGACATGCCTTTTCCAGCGACAGACCTTGACTAAAGCTGAGTAACAATGTCACCCTTCCTATTTCTTTCTTTCTTTCTTTTTTTTTAAAAATATATTTTATTGATTTTTTACAGAGAGAAAGGAAGAGGGATAGAGAGTTAGAAACATCGATGAGAGAGAAACATCAGTTGCCTCCTGCACACCTCCCACTGGGGATGTGCCCGAAACCAAGGTACATGCCCTTAACCAGAATCGAACCTGGGACCCTTGAGTCCGCAGGCCGACGCTCTGTCCGCTGAGCCAAACTGGTCAGGGCTCCCTTCCTATTTCTTATGCTCTCCAGCTCCGAGGGCATCTGCTTGGACAGATAATGCCTTTGTAGGCTTCTCCCAAGTTACGGCTTCCTTGGCTTATCTGTCACCCTGTGGGATTTGTCATCCTAAGCCTACTACTGGCTTAGACCATAGTGACCCTTAGTTTTTCCTGTTGAGATTTCTCTTCCATCCTACCCTGCACTGTTAAGGCAGCAAAGCCTGGGAGCTCCTACCATATACCCATCAGCTTAGCTTCCAGTGCGAATAGCAAAAGCCACGCTCCTTCACAACCCCCTCCTTGTGTTAGCAAACCTATAAACATTACTGAACAGTGGTTCAGTAATAGCCTCCATGTTCCTAAGGAGAGGAATTCATGACTCTCTTGCAGCACTGCAAATACTTGGTTTCCTGGAGATCCCAGCAGTTGTGAACCCCCACATCTCCCTTGATTTATTTTTATTTTTGTTAATCTTCACCAGGGATATTTTTCCCATTGGTTTTTAGAGACAGTGGAAGGGAGGGGGAGAGGAAAAGGGGGGAAAGGGAGAGAGACACATCAATTGGTTGCCTCCCGCACCCACATACATATCATTGACCAGGAATCCAACCTGAAACCCTTCAGTGCCCAGGCCAACACTCTACCCACTGAGCCACACCAACCAGGGCCCACGTCTCCTTTAAAATATTGGGACTACTTTCAGGAAAACCTTACCGGAGACTGTCCGGACTGGCTAGTAAAGACTGCCTTTGCTCCAGCAGCATCTAACTCTTTAATGCAATGCACCTCTGAAGGATATATCTTCATTTGCAGCTATAAAAAACAACCCTTGGGCCTATCCCTGCCTATGGAACAAAACAGACTCTGGCCAGTGTCCTCTTAGAACTCTAGTTGTACCCTTGACTGTCCACCCACAGGATGAGACACGGGTCATTTTTTTCGGTTTCAGATGAGGACTGAAGAATAGGTAGCTCGGACTTCTTGCCCTTCAAAGGCACATTACACAACGCCTCCTGAAGGGTCCCCAGCAGGACTGAGTGGTGGTTACCCCAGCAGTAACCCCTCATTAACATGCTCTTCAGTCCCACCTCTCCCTTCCCTCTCTGACACTCTACTCCCTCCCTGTGCCACCTGGGATCTGCTTAGGCCCAGTCATTGTCTCAATTCTGCTTTGGGGTTGAGCAAGCGAACGGTAAATGGGAAATTGGGCCCCTTCCATGTTCTAGCTCCTCCCATCCTGTGGGATGACTATGAACTGTAAGACCTTGGGAGCCTGGCCAGCATCTCAAAGAAAACAGCTAGCAGTTTTGAGCTCACGCAGCTGGTGGGGGCGGGGGGCACTAGCACATCCCCCACCCCCTGCAGGTCCTATTTTCCCATAAAACCTTGTGTTGGGAAAGTCTGAATGGTGTGAAACAATAGCACTAGCCATGGCATAAGTCATAATAAGCCCGTGTCTTTCACAGCCAGTCCTCTGTTTATTTTTTTGGGAATCCAAGAACCAAAGGCAAGGTTTTCTCAGATCTCACCCTCAGCACTTTGCATAACAACTGGCTTAGTGGGCAGGTTGGATTCCAGTGGGGAACCCCACTTTGGACAAGGAGCTCCCTGTGGTAGGAGGGGACCACCACGTGAGCTTTCTGGGGAGATCCAGAAAACGCCAGCAGGACCGCTTTCAGTCCTGGTAACAGTGGCATGGAAGTGTCACTGGCAAAACGAAGGAAACATTTTAAATGAATCTTTTTGGAGACTCAGAGGCTGCTGTGGTCCCGGGACTTGAGGGATCAGGGCTGCCCCCCAGCCCTGTGCCGGAGCAGCATGTGTGTGTGGGAGGGAGGGGGGAGAGAATATGGCCCACTTTTACATTCAAATTGTTATTTTGGAATGTTATATCTTACAGAAAAGCAGAGTTCTTTGTCAATTGCATTTTAATCAGATCTATAACTATGTCATTTTAAGTTTTGTCATTCACAGTCACTGTTTTACCCTGATGCATTTGCAAAGAGATTTCATCTTAAAGATCCATGGAAAAAAACTGTGACTTATTCTAAAATAGAGTTTTCTGAGAATAAATTTGCAAGAGAATAATTATTGTTTTATGACTTTGTTAAAAATATTGCTGATTTTTTTTAAAAAAAAATGTTTTGTTTTCCAGATATAAGCACCCTTGTTTTTTCCTTAGAGCAGTTTGGTAAATTACACCTTTATAAGCAATACAAGGCATTTGTATGTTTTCTCTACCTGATCCCTCTAGAATTCTGAAACTCTTAATAAGTGAGTATTACTTAATTGTCATGGTTTGTTTGTGTGAATTCGATGAATATCTGTGCTTTTTATAACAGGACACAGTTGAAAACTGATTTCATTGACCAAGACTTTGACTGGCTTGTCATGTTTGAGGGAGACATGTGTAGCAATATGGTTGTTTGCATGAATTCAACAATGTGCTCTTTATAACAGGACACAGTTGAAAACTGATTTTATTGACCAAGATTTTGACTGGCTTGTCATGTTTGAGGGAGACATGTGTAGACTCTGAATGTCACCAGGAAACTTTAAGGAATTAAGAATCACTTTGATTCCAAACTTGAAAACTCACAGACAAGAGTATGTGATTACCGAAAGAAAAAGGAGGGGGGAGGTAAAAGGGGTACAGGGGAAATGAATGGTAATAGAAGGAGACTTGACTTGGGGTGGTGAACACCCACTACAGTGTTCAGAGGATGTGTTGTAGAATAGTGCACCTGCAACCTTTGTATGCTCTTATAAGGAGAGGACAATGGTGGGACGGGCAGGAGAAGCACCAGCGGGCTTTTGAGGCAAAAGAGCAGGTAAACAGGTACAGGCGTTTGGTATCTATGATCCAGCCCTACCTGGCGAATTGGATGCACATGTAACCCAGGAGGGGGTGTCATGGGGTCTCTGGCAGCGACAGGGGAGACTCTGCCTCCCAAAAGGATTTTGGTCCCAGGTGTGGAAAGGGACTGAAGAAAGATGCAGCCTAATAGAGAAACAGCTCAATGCCACTTACCACCCCCTGCAGGCAACAGCCTATGCCTGGAAGCTTTGCTGTAACGGTGCGGACCACCTATCCCATCACGGGGTGGCTGCACGACGTGTCTCACACCCTGAAATCGGGCGCAGCACAGACACAGGCGATAATGAGATGGAGTGTTTACCTGCAGCAGAGACAGATCCATTCAACGTCCCCACTTAACCAGGAATGGCAGGCACTGTTGGGGCCAGTCACCTTGGTGTCAGAAGGAGATGCTGAAAAGACACTCAAGGGAGAGCCTATTGGCCCTTCGCCAGTGAGAGCAGGTGCGGTTCCAGTGCCACCTGACGCCCCATGCAAAGGACAGCCCCCTGAGTGGCATGCTCAGGACTGGACTATCAGCAACAGACCCCTGTGGGGACAAACCATGTGGGCTGACATATGTGCAGACGAAGGAGGTGACCCTATATCGTGTCACAGGACATCCATCATTATATGTCCAGGGAATGATGAAGCGAATGCACTTGCTCCCATCCGATGGCTAGAAGAGGCCCCAGCAGAAGACCTGGCTACACAGGAAAATGACACATACCAGTCAGAAAACCTTGTGAGCAACAGCTAAAGCCTGGGGCCTCCCATTGGAAATGACTGACATTACAGCTTGTCAAGGCTGTTCTGTGTGTGCGGAGCAGCATCCGTGTCCCTTGCTGGCAGTGACCAGATGTCACGTGCAAGACTGAGCTGAGAGCCACAGCATTGAACGGCGACTGCACTGCCCTTGCAGTCCAGCAGGAGATGGGCTGGTAGAACGCTATAAAGAACTCTGGAAAACGCCCTGAAAACTGAGGGAGGGTCGTTACAAGGATGGACCCCAGGACTCTGACTTACTACTAACCAGGAATGAAAAGCCCCGACCAGATCAACTGCAGCGTTCCAGATGCAGCAGCAGAGGTGGGTGGCCCACCGAGAGCGCAGATTCGAACAACGAACAGGATGCTGAGACAAGACCTTGTTGGGGAGTGGAGAAGAGCCTGTTGCTGCCAGCACCCCAGGACATAACCCTAGAGCTAGTGTATTAGCCTGGCCCTGGGAAACGCAAACTGGTACCCGCTGGTGCGCTCTCCTAGCCCCTTGGGGGAGGGTCTTGCCCATAACTAGTAAGTGACTGACTGCTATTCCAGCTGGCAGGTGTGTAGTCCTCGTCTCACAGCTAGCATTCCAGGCCAGGGGACATCGCCTGTCAAAGGGATGGTACAGGAGGCCAGGGGGACACCTGAACGAGCCACTGTTCTTACACAGGATAGAGCGATGGCCTGTGTACTACCCACTGGTACCGATGTGCTTCTGTTGGCGTCTACTGAACATTTGCCTTATTCTCCTGAGTTCAGTGCAGGCTAACAGCTTTGCAAGGTGGGCTGATGAAGGGCTCCCCGGCCCAATGTTTCAGGCTGTTGGGTGCCCCCCTCTGCTCCTGCTGGGCTGCCTTGGAAAACAAATTCAGTCAACCTGACAGAATGGTCCGGTCTCAACATGATTTGGAAAGTTGTCTTGGGGCTGGGGATCTGCTTTGTACACTCTGATACTAGTATGTGTAAGTCTGTTATTCCTTTACTGTATGTTATATTGTTGCTGTAAAATATGAATGTGATGTCTCCTCCTCCCTCCCCAGGGTATGTGCGGAAGATATAACGGGCAGATTGTACGGGGTTGGAGAGGGAAGGTACCCATTATGGGTTGGGATGTATGGGAAAGGGGAACATGGGCCCCTTCCCAGGCTC